TAAACTACCGCCCCACTTCACAGTCACGTGTACCAGTGGGTCATAGGGCAGAAGTGACATTAAAGGCAAGCCAAGCCTTTCACAAATCACACTTATTGTTGGTTTTTTGATCAAGCAAATATGTATTTACTGTTGAAATGGACGGGGAGACAAGATTGAGGGAAATTCATTGGCATCTTAATTACCAATCATCCCATTGTGGGAGAATTCAACCATCAGTCCTTCATCACTTATGTAAACTAGTGAAAATATCTAGAACCAAAGCTTCTTTGAAAGTGAGCCAATATACTTATTTTCATATCTCTATAAATATGTTAAGTTTTCCTCTTTCCGCGTTTCACATGTTATTCTATCATCCCGTCCTTTTATTTTTCACGCTTGACCAGTCGACTTTGTCAACTATTAGCCCATTTGGTTCGTGAAACCAGTCTTCTACAGGCTCGTCTGCTCTATCTGACCGATGCCGACTGGGCTGCTTTTTGGCCACGCCTGACTGCTACTGACTTCACTCAACCTCTTCTCGTTAATTTACCTGCTCAGTCTCCCATTTGCACGTCCAACTCCTCTCAGGCTCACCTCAACGTTGGAGAAAGTTGCAATTTTGGTTATATTCCAGCGCTCCCGACATCCAGACCCGATCAGCCTTCCAATTTTAACTTTGTTCGACCAAATTCCTCCCACAGATTCGAAAGCGAGCCAGGCTGGCATGGCGCTCTGGCTAGGCATCTTGAGGCACATGAGCCATCCGAATGTTATAATCGAGCCGATATCTCTCCTCGACCCATTAATCCGATTCGTTCAGTGGGCCTAAGAGAGCTTCTTAAAGGCTGCTCGTCTGAACAGCAAGCTACTTTTTGGACACAAGAGGGTCTGGCATATCCCGTCAATAGAGAAGGCGAACCGACGAAGAATCAAAGAGACCTGAAGGATACTGATGAAAAGGTGATAGTAGTTCCTTCGTTACTTGGTGACTTACCATCGTGTCGCACTCATCAGAAGCAAAGAACCTTCGTTAGTCTATCGGAAACCAGGTATTGGCCTGTGAATTGAACTTATAACTAATAAACTTAATGCATTCATATTAATAAATTATTGTTATTATTCGAGGGTAGGAAGACCAAGCTGGTGTGGCCCTTTCAATGATCGCAGTCTCATTTTGTTGTATAGAAGTTGTTTATGCGAAGAAAAGTTTGATTTCGAGGAATCTCTCATTTTATGATTGTTAAAATAATTATTTCAAATTAGAGTGAAATATGTGAGTAGGGCTTCAAAGATCGATTCCACCAGAAGACGATGGTAGATCCCTCTTGACCAGCTGTTAATTGGCTTTACTGGAACATTCGTGTTGACGCTGGTCCCGATGTAATCTTATTCGATTCCGGTGAAAAGGTGCTAATCTTTCTTCCATCATATGACTAATTGCCAGTCTTTGCATCACACTACAACTCTCTCTGATGATTTGTGTGGTCAAACAATTTTTATACAACTAACGGAGACTGCGACCACACAAAAGGCCACACCATCTTGGACTTCATACCTTCTATTATTATTATTGCCTAAAACGATATCATTGGAAGACGACAATCAGCTTTGATCTAAAGTAAATAGGATCTGAGTTTTCATATGTAGATGGAATAAGTGTCAGACGCACCCAATATAAACATATTTGATTATTTTTATATACGAAGAAAAGTTGTGTTCCGAGAAATCTCTTGTTTCATATTTGTTGAGCTTACTTCCATTTCGAATGAAAGTGTTGGGTGAAGAGATTCGAAGGTCGGTTCCACCAGAAGACGACTGCGGGTTCCTCTTGACCAGCTGTTGATTGGCTTTACTGGAAGATTCATGCTGACGCTGTTTCCGAGGCGATCTCCTTCGATTTCGGTGAACACATGCTGAGCTTTCGTCCGTCATATGACGGACATCATCAGAGCGAGGTAACATCATCACAA